ATCAAAATGAATCAGTGGAAGATTAAATTCAATATTTCAGGGTAAAAAGGAGGAATAAAAGGAAGAATTTTAAGGGGAAAAAAAAAAAGGAGGAAAAAAGGTCAAAGACAGAAAAGGGACGTGGATCATCATCCCAAAAGATGAGCCTGGCAATTTATTTCTAACACAAAGAGTGGAACGAGGCAAAGGAATGTTGGTAATTGGAATTTTTTTCAGTTCTTATTAAAGGAAAAATTATTTGGAGAGGATTCACTTCCCTTAAACCCCAGCAATCCTGCACAATCCTGTCCTGAGGCCAGGAATGGGCACTTTCACAAGGGGATTCTGCCTCTGAATTGAAAAGGATTTCAGGAGCTCACAAGATTTGAAAACACAAATAGAAGGTGACAGTTGGTCCATGGGGACTCAAATGTGAGTTTGGACTGCACCAGAAACCAGTGAAAATCCATATTTCAAACCACAGCACAGAATTTCCATTCAAAGTCTTTTTTTCAAATCTCAAAAAAGCAAAATAACACATAAAAATGTGACAACACAAACTGAGAAATACTAAAGAACACGTGCTTCAATTTGAATTTTTTTTATTTTTTTTTTTTTAATTCTAGTTTTTACCTGACAAACACTACACGAGCATGTGAACTTCCTTAAAAGAACAGAAAATGCATTTTACATTGACTGCTGTGGTTAAAAATGCTTTCCCCAGGTTGAAAGAATTCAGATTATTTGTTTCAGGCAGAGATAAGGGCCTGACATTTAACCCAAGCCCAGGTGTGTGTGGTTTCTTCAAAAATGTCACAAGGTCACATGGCTTCCATCTATGAAGTCTGAAAAAACAAAATTTAGCTGAGGATCTTCACTGAAATGGCACCAAATCCTTCGGGTGGGACTGAGACTGCTGCCTAAAAATACTGCAACACTTGTAACTTGAAAAATGAAATATTAAAAAAAAAAAAAAATCATATTAAAATGCAACTTTGATTTACATTAATTTTAATCAATTTAATTTGAATTGGTTCGATTTAATTTGAACAAACCATCCTTGGCATATTGAGGGTTTGTTTAAATATATTTCAGAATAATCCTTGCCACGTTGAGGGTTTATTATTTAAATATATTTCAGAATAACTCAAATGAACGAGTTTTGCTGCAGCTTTGAGCAAAGGAACTCACCTTGCTGAGCCAAGGTGGATCTCAGCATTCCACTTTTAGACCAGATTTTCACTTGGCCATCTTCCCCAGCTGCAAATGAGCACAAAAATCAGCAAATGCCCTACAATAATCAGTGTAAAAAATGTATTTACACAGCAAACATTTGAGTTCAAATAAATCCAGCTTTTCCTGCAGGTAAATTCCTTTTTTATAGTCTTCTAAACATGCACTAGAAAGTGTAAGAAGGAAAAAAATATTTGAGATGGTTCTTTTGTTATGATTAAGAGGTTTTCCTTTCTTGAAAATCCCTGATTTTTTTTTCTGAAGCTGGTCATAGAAAGGGAAAATCCATCATTATTTAAATATCCCAAATTGTGTATTTTTGATTCCTTCAATGGCCCAGAAGCTGCTGGAAGGAGTCTGAGGAGCCCCAGGAGCAGATTTGATGAATTAAACTGGAGATTTCAGAGCTGATAAATGATGGAAGCAAAGATAACTCTTTTCCTCATTTAATGAGGAAAAAGGTGCACCTAGAAATGAATGGATTCTTCCATTCAAATATAATTTATTGACCACATTTCAGGTTTTTACATCTGGCCAATGTTGTTTTAAATTTCAAAAAATGTAGGAAAAAAACCCCTCAAAATTAAAAATTTTATTTGAGCACATTTGATGCTGTTGAAATACAATCATAAAAAAATCTTTGAAGTGATGCAGTAGCAATGATTTATTTACTTTTCCTCCAAGTACAGCTGTGGTAGAAGAGGAGTTGATCTCCACAGAATAAACTGGAAGTGGTGATGAATTCCCACACTCCCAGAAAAGTGTCAGTGTCATGCAGTCTCATAAAATAAAATAAAATAAAATAAAATAAAATTAAAAAAAAGGATTCAAAAGACAATTTTGACTTTGTCTTTGGAGAAGTTCCTGAGGCAAAGCTGTGTTTAAAAAAGAACAATATTTCTGTTCCTCTGGGATTTCAGAGGAACAGGCCAGACAGAGTTCCTTGAAGCAGCATTTCAGAGTCTGCAAATGAACAAATCCAAAATTCTCTTCGGTTTTTGTGGCCTGAGTTGGAATTTGTCCAAAGGAATCAGCTGGGCTCCATCAGAGGGTGACAACACCAAAAATCCCAGCAAGGAACCCAGCCCAGGCAATTTCTGCAGCTTCCCTCAACACCAAGATGGAATTTGGGACCAAAAAAAAAAAAAAAAAAAGCTAAAAGAAATTAATTAATGAAATATTTAGGATAAAAGTGGTATAGAAATGAAGAAATTGTGGGGTCACTCCCCTGGCATTAGTATAAACAGGCTGTAAGTGATAATTACTGATAATTAAGGAATAAAGCACAGGAATATTCCAGATCAATAAGCCTTTTTGGATAAAAATACCCCAAATATGCAGGGATATAAATGCACCAACTTAGCAACTTTTCCTTGTAACAGATAGGAGAATATTTGATTTATTTTTTTTCTTTCTGAAGTTCAGAGCAGCCAAAAAAACCACCTAAGCACTCTGATATTAAAACATTTACTTTCAAGTAGATTGGATGACTGAAATGAAAAAAGAGAAATATTTTTACAAGATCTATTAAAATGGGCAACACTAAGCTAAGATAGCATTAATTAAATAGTGCAAAATGAACTCCTAGCAAACAAGGTGATAACAACCTCTGTGATAATTAAGACCAAAAAAAAAAAAAAAAAAAGATAATTAAGACCAAATTTTAGTTTTGAAAGCACTTTATTAATGCAGGAATGCTCACCTGTAACCAGGGCTGTTCCCTCATAATTCCACCTTCCTGCAAGGACAGCCCCACAATGTGCTTCTACACTTTTCTCCACTCTTCCTAGCTTGGAAATCAAGTGGAATTTCCCTAAAAAAGAAAAAAAAAAAAAAGACACAGTGTATATAATTTACATAAATAATTCTATAGTAAATGATTAATTATATGATACAATTATAATATCTATTATTCCAGCAGTGCTGGTACTTTCTGTGGAAAATACACACACACAAACCAAGGAACCAACAATCCAAAGAAAACATCCAATTGTTTTTCAGAGCTCAAATCAGAATTCCCATGCTGGAGCTGGGATGGAATTCCACAGCAGCCAACCCCAAAGCTTGTAATGATTTCAACAGCAGCATCAGGAAAGGTTTTCTTCCCAAATAAGGGATGCTGCTAAAATCCAGGAAGATCAAATTTAAACTGGAGCAAAGAGCAGACAATGGAAAGCCTGGAAAAATGAGCAGTCCAGTAATTGAAATTATCTACTTTAAAATCAAATTATTTTTCCTATTATTTGATCTAAGCTGCCAGACTGAACCACTGCAAAGAAGTTCCTGAGTGATCAGAACTTTTGGCACAATCACCCACCCAGCAAATCTCTGCCAATGCAAGATTTCCAAGGAAAAGACTGATAAAAAAAACCTATGGTTTGGATAAATCAATTTATTTGAACAGATCATGGAATCCCAGAGTGGTTTGGGTTGGGATTTAAATCCCAATGGGCAGGGACAACTTTAACAGACCAGGTTGTTCCAAGCCCCCTCCAAGGTATTCATTTAATGCATTCCATTAATTTATAACTATAAAATAGAATTTATCTCATAAATGTATCACTTACTGTATAGAATATCTCTCAGGTCTGAGATTTCCATGTTTCATGTGTAAGCTAAATTGAGAGGAATTCAATGTTTTCTCCAATTCAATTGCCAAAACGACCTCTTCTGTTTTTACATTAAAACAACTTTTATTTTCTGATAAATAAATCTTTTTATTTTCTGCACCTTTTTCCATGCAGTGTCTTTGTTCCATCTCTATCTCCTTTTTCACTGGAGAATCCTTCGACACAATCTGCCAGGACCAGGAATATTCCCATGCCATCACCTACAGGACTCAGCATGAAGGGGGCTGAGCTCTTCAGAGCCATCACTTTTTTTCAGGATATAAAGAATTCCATGGGATTTTATCCATTGAAACAGCTTCCACTGATCTAAACAAAATCCCTGAATGTTTCTGTAAGCAATTCCTCAACTCCTAAGAGACAAATGAAATTCCAGTGGAAGCACGAGCAGCTGGGGAGGAACTGAAGGCTTTGGTGAAGTCAAAATATCAGGAAAATGGGAAAATTATCAGATAAATCCCTGTTATCCAGGGAAAACTCTACTATTTTCCCAATTTTTTCCATCCTCTCCCACTCCACAAGCTCCTACCTCTCTCACAAGGCCCCTTGCAAAGAGGGAAGCAGAGGAAATTGTAGCTGAGCAGGGAAGAACATGGTTACATGTAAAAAAAAAAAAGCAGGATCAACTTTGCAAAATTCCTCTGGAAAAAATGTGATCATCACTTAAAACTGTATCATAATCCTTCTGCAGAACAGGAGAGATCAAATTTTCATGGATATCAACTTGACTTCTGCAACTTCTTTGCTTTTCCAACAGGGGAATTTATAATTGCTGACACTCAAATGATTTTTCCATGGCATTCCCACAGGGAGGTTTCTCCATTTCCATGGATTTCTGTTCTTCAGCTGAGGGAACAGAGACTTTCAAATTACAACTTACTACACAAAAAAAAGGGGGAAAATTTTAGCTAAATGCCTGGAGTAGGTAGAAGTGATTCAACTTAATCTCTGATCCTTTATTTTTATTAAGTACTGAAGCCAGAACTGTCCTCAACCTAAAAATGATTCCTCAGTTTTGAAGGAATTTCCAATGGGAGACTCTCAGCCTAACCAAACACAGAATATAAAATATATATGTTTTGGTCATTAACTTCCATGGACTCTTAAATGCTGACCTAATACAAAATTATCAATAAAAACCAAAGAAAAGGTTGAATCATTTTCAATTTGTGTTTAATTTGCAGGTTAAAGCCAAGCATATTCCTCATTTTTGTTAAAAGATAGCAACAAGACCGATGTCAGTATGAAATAAGAGAACAAAATCCCTCAAGAGATGCATTTCAGAAGAAAGCCCAAGGGGAATAAATTTACATTTGCTCTGATTTCAAACATCTGCAGTTCAACTAGGAATTAATACAACCCTGTAAAGACATGATGCTCCTTTTCCATTGGATCCAGCAAGTTTCCAGGAATCCTTGTCACTGAGGAGAGTTTGCTGATGCAGGAAAATTCATGCAAGAAGAAAAAATCTGGCTGGGTGTAAAATCTTTTTAGGGAGAAAAGAAAAATAAAAACCAAACCATCCCAATCCTCAAAGCATCTCACTCCCCAAACAATGCCTTGTATTTGACTGACATGAGCACTATGAAACAACAAATATTTTAAATTTACCTGCATATTTTAAACTGCCTTACCATCAGAACTGGTCAGAACAAAGATCTCAGCCTGGGATTGTTTCTTTCCACCAATTCCTCTGGGAAACCAGTGCAGATCCAGGGGATAAACATCATCTGGGAGCTTCAGCACTCGAGTGGTCTCGTTGGTCACAGGGTTCCATTTCATGATCTGGTGGTCGTCACTGCAGGAGTAGAGCTCGTCAGCTGTCGTCCATCCCACACAGCTCACCAAATCTTTATGTTCCCTTCAGTTAAGGAATCTGAAAAGTTTAACTATTTAAAATAATCAAATAGTCCATCTCAGTTATTCAGAACTGAAGGGACAATACAGGAAGATTGTTTTGGTAAGACAGCATGAAATATTTTAGGTTAAAAAAAAATAAATTTTCTGGGTTTTTTTTGCTCTTAAGTGCCAAGAAGGGCTGGTAAAAATTCAGCCAAAAATAAAGTGAATTTTCATGTAAAATTAAAATTATTATCACGAGGTACAGTTATCAAAACATGGCTAAAATGTTGAGTTAATGAAAGGTCTTAGTGCAAAATACAACTGCAAAGCATCCAACTATCATTCAAAAGCATTGATTTATTAACACCACATCATATTTACGTGCTCAATAGCTCTTGAAATATTGTCCTTAAAGGCTGACAATGACAAGGGGAACAAAGGAAAAGCAAGGAAAAAAGCCATCTGCAATTTACTAATATTTTACTGTAACTTCAAGAATAAAAAAAAATGTTTTCTGCAAGAGTCTATTCAGAACGAACATGATGTTGCATGTTTTTCCTGTGACAAAGGATATGTTTTGGCTCCTTTAAAAGGGAAGTTTTCAGTCTCATCTCAGTCGTTCAGTTAGAGCATTAAAACCATGTGTTATAACTGTAACAGACGAAAATAAATACGTGTATAAGTATGTGTAATTAGCATAATACACATGCACACACAAGCAGCCAAAATTAAAAAGGAAGACGCACTGAAATTAAAAGTTCTGAAGTAATATTACATCACTACTGGGGCAAAATAAGCACCAAGAAATACCTGAGTTTAAAGAGAATTCTGTTTTCACGTTATCCGACTGAACACGGACAACTTGAACAAAAATCGATGCTGTGAACAGTAAATCCTCGAATAATTAAAGTTGGAAAAGACCTTTAAGATCAAGCCTGGAACATCAGAGATTGAAGCACTGGAGATCTCGTGTGCTGACACATAGCCAGGAAAGAAAAACCTGGTATTTTCCTTTCAAAGCCCAAAACTTTATTTCGTTTTTAACGCATTTTAATCGCTCTGTATGTGCCGCTGAAAGGCTGAACGCCCACCCTGGGCCATCCACAGGTACATCCATCACCGCAGCCCACGGATCCCCTGCATCCCAAGGAATCCGGCAGCGGCTCCGCGGGAGTTTTAGGAGAGATGTGGCAATAAGCAGGAATTACAACCAGGAACGATCGGGATTTAGAGAAGCCAAAGTGCCTCACGCCTCCTCCCTTTGCCATCCGGAGCTGCTGGCCTGGAGATGGGGATCGGGGAGGGCGGAGGAGATGGAGCAGGAGTGGGATGAGGGGAGAAGGGCAGGAATGTCACAGGGGAGAATGGGGGAGCAACGGGACTGAAAACAGGGAAGGCAAGGGAAAGGGATGAGGGCAGAGCAAGAAAACAGCGGCAGGATGGGGGCACTAGGAAAGAAATGTCACAGCGGGATAAGGGGAATGCTGAGAAGGAAAAGCAGCCAGCGGAATGCACGGAGAAGGCAACACCAAACCCTCGGGGCAGCCTCGGCCACCATCACCCGCTCGCCAACACCCGCTTTTCCCTCCGCTTCCAGCTTTCCAAGAAGCGGATTATCCAACTCCTCCCCAGGGCCGCCAGCTGCCGGGGCTCGGGAGTCACCCGCCCTGCCCTCAGCTGTCCCCCGGAGCTCTCCCTCCCCTCCATCCGCCCGTCCCACGCCCAGCCGGGGGTCACGGCTCCCGACCCTCTCGCCCACCGCGGGCTGACTCAGCCGAGGGGAGGGCGCCGCCTCCCCAGCGCGCCTTTACCTGCGCGGGCAGCGGGAGGGAGCGCGCAGAGCGGCGGCCGGAGCCCGCTGCGGCCGGAGCCCGCTCCCAGGGGAGCCCGGCACGATCCCAGCGCCAGCTCCCGGGTTGATCCCGCTCCCGGCGGATCCCGGGATGATCCCGCCTCCCTCTCCCGCTGCTGTCGCCTCAGGAGCGGCAGCACCGCTCCGCCTGCCGCCAAGCGCCGCCGTCTCTATGGCGACTTCTCGCGAGACTTCATCCTCCTCCTCCTCCTCCTCCGCCACCTCACGGGTCCCCCCCGGCCCCCCCAAGGTGCCACGGCGCCGCCCGTTAATTAATTAAACCCGCTTCAAAATCGCCGCGCTGTCGCCATTTTTTAATGTTTTTTTTTTCGCTCGTAAAAAAAAATTTTTTAATAATTTTAAAAAATTATTTTCAAACCGGCGCGCGTCGCCCAGCAACCAAGCGCCGCCCACTGACCTACTTCTAAAATTAAAATGAACCCCTTTCTCCGCCGGCACGGCCGCCAGGCTGTGTTACCGCGTTGCCCTCACGCCCTAATGTCTCCCATCCCTCCGTCTGTCCCCAGAAAAAGCCGCTCCCGGCGGGTTTGTGGCGCTTTCCCCTCCCCGCTGTAACGAACACAAGATGGCGGGCGGGGGCGGCGGTGCCGTTCAAACCCGCGGGCCCGGCCCCTCCCGTCCCAGCCTGCCCCGCGCTTTTCTAACGAATTTCGGTTCGAGTTCGCTGTTTCGGCGCCATTTTCGAGTGTGGAAGCGGCCGAGCTTTTACAGCAGCTGGAGCTGCCCGCGCTGCCGCCGCCTCGCCGGGGCACGGAGCTGCCGGGACCAGCAGGTACGAGCTCGGCGGGAGGAAGCGATGGTCGCTCGCCTCAGGGCGGTGGGGTAGGGGGGCTTGGCGGTGGAGGAGGTGCCCCCCTCAGGGGGCTGCTCCGGGCAGGGGGTGCTGAGGGGATGGTGCTGATGCGGAAAAAAGAAATGCTGGGAGAGTTGAGGGGAGACAAGGGATGCTGAGGTGGAGATAAGGACTTCAGAGGGGAAGGTGCTGAGGAGGCGACAAGGGGTGTTGAAGGGAAAGCGCTGAGGGGAGAGACAGGAGGTGCTGAGGAGAAGGCGCTGAGGGCATGGCAGGAGATGCTGAGGGCACGGCGGGTTCTGCCTCACGCCTTATTTCCCCATTTCCCTCTTCGGCCGGAGGGAGCAAAAGTGGCGGCAGCGCCTCTGCCCAGGCCGGGCTGCCCTATTGAGAGTCCCCCCGAGGGCTCCAGGCACGGCCGCTGTCGGTGCAGGGCTTTGAAGAGCGGGGCAGCCCAAAAACTCCCGCTGTGCCCTTAGGGACCCCCGGGCACTGCGGCTCGGAGGATGGGGAAGTTCAGGAACGCGTTTGGGTAGCGGAGAGACTCGGTTTTAATCTGTTTAGAGCCGGGACCCTTCTAGCCCCGGCTCTTCCTGCTGCTTTGGTGATTGAAAGATGAGAGAAAAAATCTAACGATTCGCTTAAAAGAGCTGGATTCGATAATCCCTGTGCGTCCTTCCCAAGTCGGAATATTTTGGGATTCTGCGACTTGGAACGAGCGTGACAAGGGTGCAGTGTGGCTCCTTAGGCTTTAAAAAAGCCCCAGATTTGTCACTGACAGGGCTTGTCGCTATGAGATTTAATCGGTTGTGTATAAGGAAGCTTTTCTGTCCGTCTCCGGTTCTTTTTTTCGTCATCCCCGTAAGGAAAACGGCGCTTGGCAGGAGAGATGCTTTTGCCAAACACCTTCGAGCTGGCTCGGGGGAGGGGCTGGGCACGAATTTGTTAAATCTGTTAGAGACTATGTGGCAGCTGATTTATCGCGATTTAAAAGCTGAGGTCAAGTAGTTCGGCTTGTTCATTCTGGTGAAGTATCCGAGGGGGGGGGAAAGGTTGGGAAGGTAAATAGGTCTACATTGCACAATTCTGTCGGAGTGGAGCAGTTTGGGAAAAAAAAAATAATAAATAAATGTGCTTTGAGAGGCTGTAATTGTCCGCGACAGCCATTGCGGAGCAGTTCTGAACGGGGGCATAGACTGAAATTGCCCGAAAATGAGTTGTGTGTCTCATTTCCCCCTCCCCCATTGTCCCAAATGAAGGACTCTCATGAGAGTGTGGGTTGGGGGTAGGTCTGAAAACGTCAAATGATTGGCACCAATTGTAAGATGACTTTCTAACCACGTCAGTTTTTTATCTTGTGAGAAGTAAACTTTCTCATGTCTGTTTTTCTGCGAGCTCACTTCGCCACTTGCTGCGATTTCAACTCTTTGGGGAGAGTTTCGCTCCTCACTCGTCTTTTCTTCCCATCGGGTGCTTCACCCGTTTGGGGAGCAGTGCTCAAGTGCCAGCTGATGGCTTTTGTAATGCTCGTCCTTGCTCAGATCACTTTAACATCCCAGCTAGATAAAGGTATTTCGTTTTTGCTTTCTCTCTGAAATGCTGAATGCTGACAGGAGGGGTTGTGTTGTATTTTTTGAGCGGGGTGTGTTGATTTACATTATTTAAGAGTCAAGTCTTTGCTATAATCACGCAGGGCTTTTGTTTCTCTATCTGTTTATCAATCTCTCTATATCCATACAAATATTTAGCACGGATTATTGAAAGTAAAACGAATGTCAGGTCTGAAATATAACGAGTTCTTCCAGGAGAATAGAGACATGTGGCTCTTGGGCTTGTTATTCAATGTGTCTTTAACTCCTTTGCCCCCAGCACCACGGTGGCTTTCAGGGGAAAAGTCACAGCCCTGAACGAGTTGGCAGCAGGTAGATCCGTGCTGTTAATACAGATTAAGCTCAGCCCCTCGTTTTGGGAGTGATGTATCTTAAAACATACCGTTATGAAGCTGACTTCGATATTTTGTTTCAAATTCGTATTTTTATCTTGTAAATACCTCCAGTCTTAGGTTTCTAAATGAGTGGAGCATCTGGGCAGAGGTGTAGGTGAATTCCTTGCGGGGTTGTAGCTCGGTGCTGGGATCACGGGGTTCTCTTGTTTGTGTTAGCCAAGGAGATAGAGCCCTTCAGTTGTTTGATTGCTTGGAATGGAAGGGGAGCAGCCAACAGGGACCGTGCCAGGCAAGTGCACCAAAAGCTCCTCTGCAGCCCATGGGAAGGGCAGGAAGCCCTTGGAGGAGTCCTCCATGGACGTGGAAGAGGAAAACGAAGGCACCAGGGAACCTGACAAAGAACCTCCCCAAGGTAGGTCTGGGCTGCCTGTCTAGTGCTGATTGAGCCTCCTTAGCAGCAACTTGAATTTCCCAACTCTTCCAGATGGGATTTGCTCTTTTCTCTTTTACAAAGCAACGTTGAAACCCCTGGCAATTTAAAACTGCTTTTCAAATGGGTAAAAGAGCTTGCAAAGAGTTAAAGGGTTTGGCCCAGTACAAGTGTAAAAGCAGTTTGTAGACTTTCTCCTAATAAAGCCTATTTCGGAGCTCTGATCTGGGACATTGTGCTTAAGATTGTGGTACAACAGCAGGATTTTTCAAATTTATAGGCAGCCAATGGTATGGGATTTCTTGGAATGGAATAAATGTCAAGTTTATTTACTTAACTCTTAAAATGACTTGACTTTCTTTTTCATGAAGCAATGTATTTTCTTGAGTTCCTCGAGTTGAACTTTTGCAGCAAAAAAAATCTGCAAAACCTGCGGCTGTGTAACTTTTTTAGGGAGCCACATGTGCAGTTGTTCCAGGCAGGTATTTGACAAACAGACGAATACATTGAATTTGGTGGCAAAACCCGCTGCCTGTTGAAAAAAGGAGTTGCTGGTGCCTGGGGAAAAGCTGCTCTGCTGATATCCAGGGGGCCAGTTTGTTTTCGTAACAAACTTCCTGTCTTTGCAGAGCAGCCGTGCTGTCATTGCAGCTTTCAGAGCCTCGTGCAGAGATCCCCAAACCTTGCACAGGGACTCTGAAATGTGGCTTTGCACTTCTTCATTAGGAAGGCTTTGCCTGCTTCACATTTGCAGATTTATTGTGATGGTTGGAGCTGTTGGAATTGCAGGGGGCCTGTTAAAGTGTGTTGGAATAAGAATTACATAATGAAAGAACAAACCCAGCGATGGGACATCTTAAGTAGCTCTTAAAAAACATTTTGTTTGTGGAAAAAAGAATTTTAATTCCACTCAGCTCATGTTAATAATTGCAGGCCAAAATGTAGTTTGGTTCAGACAGAAGTGATGTTTGCTTTATCGGTTCAACATTTTAAAAGGTGTCAAAATCATTGAGAGCCTACAGTTGTTTTTTGGTTTGTTTTTTTTTTGTTTTTTTGTTTTTTTTGTTTTTTATCTTTCTGTTTATTTGGATGGATTTTAGCAGCCTCAGATGAGGTGGTGGATAATCGAAGTTTAGAAGAGATTTTGGGTAGCATCCCTCCTCCCCCACCTCCAGCAATGACCAGTGAACCTGGTGCTCCTCGGCTCATGATCACTCACATTGTAAACCAGAACTTCAAATCCTATGCAGGGGAGCAAACTCTGGGACCTTTTCACAAGGTATCTTTCTTTTTCTTTAAGTAGTTTTGTACTGAAGGTAAGACTTCCCTGGGTGGTATTATTATTCCTTCCTGCATTTTCATCTAAGCTGACCTCAAAATAACTGAAAAAATATTTAAGGTTTAGAAATATTTTGATAGTAATATTCTAAATTAAGTAGAGAAAACAGTTAAGTGCAACTTTCCAATGCTATGCGATTTTAATTTGTCAGCACAGCTTAGAAAAGCTCTTTTTTTTCTCTTAATTTCGTTTGCTGGAGAACTTTTAGGGCTTTTTTGAAGAAAGAGAATATTTTTTTAGTGCCCACAAGAGACTTACGTGGCTGAGCATGAAACTTAGCTTGTGAAGGCTGCAAAGTGCAGGGCTTTGGGTTAACCAGTGCAGCTGGGAAAGCTGAGCTGGGGGGGTTTTATTCAATTTTTACCTTTGGCAACAAACGCTGAGCTCTCACACACTCACAGGGCTGAGGAGTAATTGTGTTTTAAATGGGTGATGGAGACTGGGCAGGGTTTATTTCCCTTTGAAGATCACTTTTTTTTTTTTTTTTTCCCCCCCCTCCTTTCTCTGTGCAGCGTTTTTCATGTATTATCGGGCCAAATGGCAGTGGCAAATCCAATATCATCGATTCCTTGCTTTTTGTCTTCGGTTATCGAGCTCAAAAAATCCGATCCAAAAAACTCTCGGTGCTGATCCATAATTCTGATGAGCACAAGGACATCCAGAGCTGCTCTGTGGAAGTTCACTTCCAAAAAATCACTGACAAGGTATGTGGCATTCCAGGTTTTTGGTTTTTGGGTTTTTTTTTGCCTTTAAGGAGCTAAAAAACTTTGAATATTTTGCTTATTTTCGTTGGAGCTGGGGAAAACTTCCTAGCGTGATTAGTTTACCTTTGGGATCTAAACCATCAGGGTTAATTAACTTGAAAAATCCTCTGTTGAGTAGAGCAGCTCTTAAAATCTTAGTAAGGATTCTTTTATTTGCTGCAGGACTAATATGTGGTAGATTTCTGTTTGAGAAGAATTTAGAACTTTTTAATCATCATTTTAAGAAGAACTCGTTTTAACTTGTAATCTCGTTTACCTCAGTTAAATAAATTTCAGCAATTAAAAGAATTTAATAAAAATTTATAAATCTGTGTTTGGACATATTAGATATTCTGAAATGTATAACACAAACATGTATATTAAGAAATAAAACCTATTTAAGCAAAACTTTTCAAACCAATTAGAAATTATTTTAGGTTATCTAAATTTAGAAAAATATCTAATGAATCTGAAACTTATTTACACTTTATGTACTCTAAACGTGCCTGCAATTTTGTACCAGATTTTTCAGCAAAAATTCTGGACCCCCACATTTTACCACTAAAATTTTTTGAATGGTATTTTGTTTGAATGAAATAGAAAGTGTTGGCAAATTAAAAAAACATTTATTTTGCTTGCTGCTTTGTGTATTGATAAAAACTTTAGCTCTTTTTTGTTGATTTATTACAATTGTGGTACAAAGAATTTATTTCTTTTAATTTAAATTTCTTTTTCATGCACATACCTAAACTTTTAAATTAAGGGTCAACCAAAAAAGTGGGAAGTGTACATTGAAATTCCAAAAACGGTGTGAATAAAGTGGCAGCATTTGCAGCCTTTTTTTAGGAACAGTTTGAAAATACATTTAAATTTTTTCTTTTTATATTTATAATAACCAGATTTTAAAAATTTAAATAGATTTTATTTTTTAATTTTTTTTTTGGTTTTAGTTTGTGTTAACATCCAGAAGCTCAGTTTGATTTAAAACCAGAGAGCAATTTGAGAGCTCTTGGGGGTTAATCTTGAGTGAGTTTTTAACTTCTTAAAACCTGGCACCAGCTTTATTTTGGCTGCTGCTCTGGAGGTAAATGGAAGCTCTCTTTTTGAAGCTGCTGATGTCACATTTGTCACATCTTGAATGTTTGTCTGTTTTATCTTGGTGCAGTTTCTCAGTGGAGCTCAGGGGCTGGAAATGCAGAGAACTCTGCAGTCCCCAGGGCTTCCCAAAGCCACCCCAGGCTGGGACAGCACAGCCACTGCCACCAGGCCATGGCACAGGCACTGCAGGCAGCACTTCCCAAAGCAGCAGCTGCTCTTAGAGCTGGGAAAGGCATCAGGTCAACACAATCCTGGGGACTTTTTGGTTTTTTCTCTTTGGTTTTTTTTTTTTTTTTTTTTTGAGAGATGAAGTTTTAAGACAGCTCCCACTTCTACAGCTCAGAGCCCATGATAAAAACATGATGAAACTTATCTACTTAATTGTGAAATAGGAGGTAAATCCACAGCTACAGTAATTGTTTCTCTGGCTTTGTGTTTCCTCAAAGCAGGAAGGAGATGATTATGAAGTCATTCCTGACAGCAAATTCTGTGTCTCCAGAACTGCCTATAGAGACAATTCCTCCACCTACTACATCAACGGCAAGAAAAAGACTTTCAGAGATGTTGGGATGCTCCTCCGAAGCCATGGCATTGATCTGGATCATAACAGGTTCTTAATTTTACAGGTTGGTGTGTCAATAAACCGATTGCAAAGTTGTATTTCCACTTAAAACTCTAAAAAAAGTGCAGGTTTGAAATGTTGCCTTGGAGGCCTTGAAGTGCTGTAGCAGCACATCATGGTTTGCATGCTCTGCTCAAGGTGCGAATCATTATTTGCTGCTGTAGGAATTGAAGGCCCAGAAACAGTTG